GTAACAAAGTTAAACACATATAAAAATACAGAGCAGAAGAAAACAATGTATCTTTCTAACCTTTGTGCAGAAGCTTACTAAAGGAACATAGAAATAATAATAAAAAAGAAGTTGACTTCATCAAAGTAAATGTTCTAGATTCTGTTCATTGAACTATAACCTTCATCAAGAAAGTAAAAATGGGGGAAAAACTGCAAGACATGCATGAAAAATATGCTGTATCCAAAATGTAGGTAAAATTCTTGAAACTGTAAAGTAAAATAAAAATATTACCACCAACAATTTCTGCCTTAGAGTTCAATAATCCTGTTGATAGACAATTGTCCAAGAGAAATAAAAAGTATGTACAAAAACTTTTATTTTTTTAAGTTTTATATTGTGAAAATACTGTACAGAGGGGTTACAATCACATGAGCAAGTTAATGAGTACATTTCTTATAAACATTGTGTCTCCTCCTTTGTTTTTTCCCCTACCATCCCCTCCCTTTTACCAGAGTAGTATATTTAGCTCCAACCCAGGGCCCTATGCATATGTAGCTCCTTTTCACAGACCTGCTGAGCTACAATTCCCAGTCCAAGGATCATTCAGTCAATAACTGAAAACAATCCACATGTTTTCAGACAGGAGAAAGATAAATTCTGTATATTGTTTATGGAATATGAAGCAATAAAATTGTTTAACCCACTGATAAATGCAATTATCTGACTTTCAATATTATTATGAGTTAAAGAAGCTTAAGACAAAAATTACATATTGTGTGATTTCAAAATATGATTTTCTTAAATAATAAAAAATAGATTGTTATTGTAGAGAAATGACTAATCTGTATAGGTAGGTTAGCAGTAAAGAATGACATAATAGAGGATAGGAAGGAAACTTTCAATGTGGTGGTCTTGAAATGCATTCCTCAAAATGGATTGCAAAGTAGCCCTAAACATCTGTGTTTCACTGAACGTCAATTTTATTGTATTTTCCAGAATTTCACTTTTCTGGCCTCTCAAATTTCCTCCAATCACTAGCTCAAACTTAACATTAAAATAAAAGTAATGTTTTCACTTCAAAACTCAAAAATAAAGCACATAAAATCCAAATGCATGGTTAAGATAATACTGCAGGGTAAATGGATTTTATTCCCATATTATCAGAATATGTGTTCAAATAATTAAGTACTTATCCTTCTTTTCCCATGTCTGATAATGTGGAAAGATGATTTAAAAGAAATAGCTCAATTTGACACACATTTACTAATCTGCAACATTGTGTTAAATCAGTAGGTTTCAAGCTTGTATGACTGTGACCTTCAGTAAGAATTACAATTATATCACAGCCCTCTATGTACATATGTCTGAAACATGATGATATAATCAAGCCTACTCTTGCTCAATGATACCCTATTATTTTCTGCTCTACTATAGTCTTGTTTCACGTCTACCAAAAATGCTGTTTCATTAACCAATAACAGGATGTGAATTATAGGCTATGGAGTCTACTCAAATAATGCTTTGTGAACAATTATCAATAGCAGTAGTTGAGGGGCTTGTTGGACTATACAGATCCTGAGGCTGCTCCTAAACCTACTGAATTAGAATATTCCTTTTAGTTGAACCTTTATATCCTTCCCACACATCTCACTGTCAGAAGCCTTGTGGTAGGAATGCATAAGGAGAGTGCTTGGGACTAGTGGCATCTTTTGAGTATTACATTTTTACTTGGGGGTGATCTGATATTTCTTAAATGATATACTTGCAAAGCCCAAACTAAGCCATTGATTCAAGATCTCTAAGAATATTTCAGAACTATGGTTTTCAAAAAATCAAAAACAGCTAACAAATGGATGACCAAAATGTACAGGAATTCTTTGGAGGGACACTTCTTAAAAACCATTCAGCTAGGGGATTGTGTGTAGGTTGTATAGTTATGTAATTATTTGTCTATTACAAAAGTGAAAACTTGTACTTCAGGTATTATGGAAAGGTTTTTACTTTCCGTTGTAAGTGACTTCATATAAAAGCATTTATTCCCTTAGTATATACATATAAGGGTATTGACACAACTTTCTTTCTTTTTTGTTTCTTTGTTTTGTTTTTGTTTTTTGTCTGTTGTGGGGCTTGAATTCTGGCTGGGCGCTATCCTTGTCTTCAGTTCATAGCTAGTGCTCTGCCACAGCACCACTGACACAACTTTCTGAATTGAATTTTTCCTCACAGAGAAGTTTTCAATTATCTCTATTCTACGAATGCCTATCCATTTATAAAAATGTGGCTTAAGAGCCAGGCACCAGTGCCTCCCACCTGTAATCCTAGCACTCAGAAAGCTGAGTGATCACAGTTTGAAGCTTACCAGTGCAGAAAAGTTTGTGAGACTCTTGCCTCCAATAAACTACCTACCACTCCACCCCCTCACCCCACCCCCATAAAAAGAAAAAGAAAAACTGTAAGTGGAGCTTTGACACCAGTGAAGAGTGTTAGCTTTGAACAAAAGAAGCTCAGGGACAGAGCCTAGGCCCTGAGTTCAAGCCCAGGACTTTGGGTACAAATATAGATATTCTGATACATAGCACAATTCATCCCTGGATTATTATCAGTAAATCCCTAACGAAGGATCTCAGCTGTGGAAGAAAATGGGGCTGCCCCCTAAGTGGTTATCATTGGTCATTAAGGACCTTTCCCTTCTGTTCCTATGTTTCCTGAGTGATGGAAAGTTTTAACCTGAAAGTTGCTAATCTTGCTAACACTAAAAGGCTCTCTCCCATTAGCGCTTTCTGTGTTGCATTAATAATAAGAAAGTAATAAAGAAAGAGACCAGCCTCAGCTGTTCAGTCTCCCCTGGGGTAAGGCCCCAGCTTAACTCTCATCCCATGGTCCACTCTTATGGTCTTGCTTGTATTATAGGAACCAGGTGGATAAGTGCTGTTCTTTGTTTCACAGCCAAAAATTTCTTCTTTGGGGGAGAAAGAGCATTTTCCAAAATGTCCAAATTAAAAACCACATATGAATATTTTTCACAATTAAATTTGACCTGATTAATTCATAAATTAAACACAATATCAAATAATGGGGAAAACAATGCAAATTTAGACCGTTAAGGACAAGTAAAAGTGTACTGTTTTAGCAAAACATGTAGTCTACCTATCTTTCCTAGAAGACCTATGCAGCAGAGAGCACTCCAAGAGTTGTTTTTATGTCCATTATCTTTTTTTTGTATATCAGATTCCTCATGTACACATGAATAAATTCAAAGTTAAAAAGAAAGGTTTTGTTCTCATAAATATTAAAAGCTCTTTTTATACATAAAGAAAAATGATGAGTAATTATCATGTTAAAGCAGAGTTGGATTTAACAGATTCCTGAAGCATGTTTATATGTTATTTTTGTTAAAGTGCATTATTAGAATTCATCAAGCCAGAAATTTCTCATGTTCCCTGTGTACGTGTGTGTGTGTGTGTGTGTGTGTGTGTGTGTGTGTGTGTGTGTGTGTGTGTGTGTGTGTGTGTACTTTTAAGCCTATAGTAGGACTTGAACTCAAGGTCTTACATTCTTGATTGGCTTATCACCCATGGCTTGATACTCTACCACTTGAGCCACACTCGCACATCCTGCATTCCGCTGGTTACTTAAAGATAAGACTGTCTCAGTCTCAGATTACTTTGCCTGGGCTAGTTTTTAATCATACTCTTTAGATTTCAGCCTCTTGAGTAGTTAGAATTGTAAGTATAAGCCTCAAATTGTCTCAAATTATTTTTCTATTGAAACTTTATGATCTTTGACATTAATGCAGTTACTTTTATAGGCAAACTTAGCTTTTTTGAAGTTTATTTTCAAGTGCAGCTACTTTTGTTTCAACTATATATGTTTTCATTGGGTAAACAGTAGTACATCACCTCAAAAGTGTTGCTCATTTCTTTCACTCAAAAGTCTAGAAACTTTCTTTAGTGTATCAGACACTATTTGGGGTTTTTTTTGTTTGTTTGTTTTGTCAGTTGTGGGGCTTGAACTCTGGGCCTGGGTGCTTTCCACTATTGTATCTTGATGTCAAAGGTTGATTTTATAATTTGGCTTATTTTAATACCTCTACTTCAGGAGCAGGTGGCAACTATCAATAATGATCATTAGTGGCTGAATATACATTTAAAAATAAAATTTATGCTCATGACTTTCAGAGAAAATCACCATGATTAGCTCTGTGAGATATTTATATGAGAATCAAAAAATTATAAAAGATAGTAATTTTCTAAAGATTTATAACCAATTTGTTCCTTGTAAGTGCTTAAAAACTTAAGGAAAAAATGGACATATCTACTTAGATAAGATGACCCATCTAATATTTTAAAATAGTCAATGAAAAATTCAAAAATTTAGGAACAAGAAAACATTGTTTTCATAAAAATAGATTGGTTTTTCTCTAGAGAGAGAACAACCTGAATCCTTTTAATAAAATAAATAACTCTTTTATGTAGTCTACTGATTGGCTAGTCAATTTTCATAAATCCTATACACTCTTTTGTCTTTTGCTTTTCTTTTTTTCTTTTGCTAAAAAAAAGGAAGTGTTGCCAGAAGCTGGTGGCTCACACCTGTAATCTTAGCTACTCAAAAGGCTGTGATCTGAGGATCACAGTTTAAAGCCAGCCTGGTCAGGAAAGTCCGTGAGACTCTTATGTCTAATAAACCACTAGAAAACAAGAAGTGGTGCTGTGGCTCAAGTGGTAGAGCACTTGACTTGAACTGAAAAGTTCATGAACAGTGCCCAAGCTCAGAGTTCAAGCACCATAAAGAAGGAGGAGGAGGAAGAGGAGGAGGAGGAAGAGGAAGTATGGGTAGTGTGAGGATTATCCTTAGAGTTGGAGGGGAGAGGGGAGTTGAGTATGACATTTTTATAAAGCCCCAGGACCAAGAACAAACAAGGCCATTGAGGTAACATCCTTATCTAGAATTTTCTCAGGGTTTTTGAGACCAAACATACAATGAACCTGCATTTCCTTTATGTTTTTTCTCTCCTATAGTTCATGAAGGTTCTGGAGAAACCAGTCAGAAGGAGACATCCACCTGTGATATTTGCCAGTTTGGTGCAGAATGTGATGAAGATGCTGAGGATGTCTGGTAAGCTGATATTTTCATTCTTTTAAACAAAATGATGTCATTCATTTATTTGCTTTATGTTTTACTCATCAACCTTTCTTAAAAGGGAGAAAGATTCATCTTTTTTTCCTCTGAGTTACCAGGGCGGGGAGGAGGGGAGGATTGGATAGATGAATGCTTTACTAGTAGCAGGGAATTTCTGGAGCATGATTAAAATGTGGGCCAGCCAGTCATCTGTCCAGGGAATTACTTGTTAACATACATTAAGATATCACCAAAGCTTCCAGAACTGTCACCATTAACACAGAGAAGGAAAAGAAAGTCTATTGACCTGAATCTCTCTTAAGACACATTATCAAGAAAAAAATGGACGATTGCTGTCTTAATTCTGTTTTAACAAAAGGATCATACACTAGGTATCTGATAAACAGAAACTTTCTTAACATGCTGGAATCTGAGAAGTACCAGGCCTTCAGTCTTAATGGCAGCCTTTATCTCATTGTAGAAAGGAAGGAATAAGGATGTTCTTCCCAGCTTCACTCAAAGAATGACAATCCCATTTATGAGGACTGTTTCCCTGAGAAATTCACTCCCCGAATGACCCTGCTTCTTAATACTATCAACTAGGTTATCACCATGTGACTCAACACATGAATGTTGCTGATATGATTTCTAAGATGGTAGGTCTAGGTAACACAGAGATTTAAAATAGAGAGATTACTTGTATCTGTAAGATGAAATGACAGGACAAAAAATGTTCTTCAAGCTGCCCTATGGTATCAAGTTCTCTTCTCCTCTATTACTCAGCAACTCTTACAAGTACCTGCCAAATACTTCAGCAGCTGGGATCTACAACAGGTACTGGCTTGACCAGGAGGTATATTTTTTAAGAGCATTTTAATCATCTTAATGATTTGTAAGCTTGTGGTTTCCAAGTACAGTAGATCATCAAAATTATTTTGTTTTTTATCCATATATGCATTTTTAATTGAATTTGGTGAAGTTTGAGTTCTTCCACTCCCAAACCATGACTGATCATCAAAAAGGAAGGAAGAAGGAAAGAAAGGAAGTAGGGAAGGAAGGAAGGAAGGAAGGAAGGAAAGAAGGAAGGGAAGGAGAGAGGGACAATGAATAGTGCATTTACCCATTATATAATATATTGAAACTTGACTCATACACATTTTGATAATTTCACAATCTTCTAAAAGATAGAAACAAGAGTTGGAATTTAAATCTATTTTGGGTCCTTAGGTTTCCAATACAGTAGGCCATAAAAAAACAAACATACAAACAACAAGAAAAAACTTTTAATGTGTTTCAGTTCATTTCTCAGTAACACAACCCCCAGCAAAATTCTATAGGAATGGTTGACAAAGTATGTGGCTCAAGGTTCAAGAGATAACTTAAGGTTTTCGGTTCCCAAAGATAGTCTTCAATTTCACCAAGAATTTATTATTTCCCATCATCCAACCTCCCACTACTGCTAAATCAGCTACTTACCCAAACATATCAGCAGACAGACAGTCACACCTGCCACCTCACCTAATGCCAGCAGTATTGCCCACAAAGGGCAAGCAGAGCGAGCATCATGAGGACCTAGCCCCAGGAACTTGGTTCCTACACTTTTCACTATGATCCACAACTGAGTTAAGTGGAGCAAAATGCTCTCCCACCAAATCTTATTCCTTATATACTTCATGCTTTCTGATAGCAGGTCTGTAACTCCTATATCCACATACCACACACCACTATAGAGCATTTACTTTTTTTGAAGCATAGCAATTCATTCGTTCTTCTCTAAGCAGAGGGCTTATTTGCTTTTCTAAAAGCCCTCAAATGATTAGAAACACACCGCTATACCATAAATTGTTCAAAGATCTTTGAATGAATCTGTAGCTGATCAATACTTTTCAAGTTATTGTTATTTTCATAAAGATATACACATGTTTCTTAAGTTTCTAAAGACATTTCCTTTGCCTAGTTTTGCCTTCTTATATGATTTTTTTAATGACAGTTTTGCTTTCCAAGTACCAAGACTTGAGATTATAGTATCAGATAAAAATTATTGGCTGCATACTGTGGGCTTTGTCATTTTTTTAATTTTAATTTTTTGTGAAAATACAGTACAGAGGGGTTACAATTACATGGGCAAGATAATGAGTACATTTCTTATCAAGCATTGCAGCCTCCTCCTTTGTTTACCCTTTACATCCCTTCCCAGCCTCCCCCCATCCCCCCACTCAATCCTCCCCCCCCACCAAAGTTGTAAAGTTCGTTTTCAACATGACAACTTGTACTTCTCATTGTTGCAACAGGTCCACCTGTATCCTTAAACGACTTGTTTTTCCCCATCTCCTCCACAAATTATACCGACATCAAATATAGTTAAAGCAGGGGTTATACTGTGGGGGAGGGACATACAAAGCAACAAAGAAATAATCTTATAAATGCGTTGGAAACAAATGCATGAAAGAAAAAACATTAAAATACATAACTAATGGTTCATTTTCTTAACATCACATTATCTGACCTTTTCTGCTTGACTCATACATATACTAGATATTGCAAATAAGGGAAACCATGGGACCTATGTTTCTTTGGGCTTGGCTTACTTCACTTAATATAATTTTTTCCAAGCCTTCCATTTCCTAACAAATGGGGCAATGTCATTCTTTCTGATGGAGGCATAGAATTCCATTGTGTATATATACCACATTTTCTTGATCCATCATCTACTGAGGGGCATCTGGGTTGGTTCCATATCTTAGCTATGGTGAATAATACTGCAATAAACATAGTTGTGCTGGTAGCTTTGGTGTGGTCTTGTTTGTAAACATTTGGGTAAATGCCCAAAAGGGGGATTGCTGGATCATAGAGGAGCTCTATGTGAAGTCTTTTGAGGAACCTCCATACTACTTTCCAAAGTGGTTGAACAAGTTTACATTCCCACCAACAATGAAGTAAGGCTCCCTTCTGTCCACATCCCCTCCAGCATCTGTTGTTGTTAGAGTTCTTGATTTTTGCCATTCTAACTGGGCTGAGGTGGTATCTCAATGTTGCTTTGATTTGCATTTCTTTTATGGCTAGGGAGGTTGAGCATTTCTTCATGTGTCTATTGGCCATCCTTCTTTCTTCTTCAGAGAAGTTTCTCTTTAAGTCTTTAGCCCACTTATTTATTTACTTTCTTTCCATCAGTAAATTTTAACAACAGAATGTAGGTTCTATTATTTTCTTAGTTTTACAAAATGGAAACCAAGTTTTGAAGTGGTTAAGTGATGAGGCCAAGCTGAAGATATGAGGTGAGAATAACTGGAGGATGTTGGCATGTTAATTCAATCAAAGATGCAATTAGAAAAAGTTCTTTCCTGTCATGTCTGGCATAATGAGATGGCTAGATTTCAGGCAATGCACTTACTGCAGTGACTCCCAAGACCTAGAGGTTAGAGCTGTTGACTAGAGATGCTTGCCACTCAAGTGGCAAAATGTCACTTCTAGTGTTTTTGCAGAAGTCCAGGTAGATGGTGGAAAGGCTGTACAAGGAGAATTGGTCAAGGCTCATGTGGGATCAGAAATGTTCAGAAATGGGTGATAGTGTCAAACTGCAGCAACTGGAGTTCAGAAGGAGTTTAGTTATAAAGGGGACCAAGAGAAGTATGAGTCAGACTTTTGATCATGGAGAGAAAAAGCATCAATCAGCAAAATGAATTAGGGGCCAAAACAGGAAGAAAAAAAAACAGATGGATTTCTACTTAGGAGAACAGATGTGGAAAGTCAAGCCTTGGTTACTAGTTGTGGCAAGAGTGCAGTGTACACCTCGGGAAAGAATTACAAGATCAAAATGAAACCACCATCAGAACTGACTTGATGCTGTGTCCGTTAGCTTTTGGCTAGGAAATCTTGAATACTCTCAGCCTAGGGACAAGATTAGTTCCAAAATTCTGGATAAGTCTGAACCTCCAGATGAGGCTAAATGGCCATTGCTGGGAAGATTAGAAGGCAGCAAGGGCAGAGAGCCAAGATGATCATTATACTACCCAGGCAGAATGAAAAGTTGTTAGTGTTTAAATAAAATGTATTTAAAATGTCCAATGTAAGCAATAAAGAATGGTGCCAAATTGAGTGCATTGATTTTCATTTACATAACTACCTTTGTATGTTAACATATTGTATTTAGTTATAACCATGAAGGGCAAATTAGAAACAGCTGAAGGACACAAGAACACACCAATAAATGAAATTAAATAGGCATGGAATTAAAAAGGCTATAAAATAACATGGTGGGGGGAGTCAGGCTATAATCTGACTATAGTAGTAATACCAAAGTCTTCACTGAATCAGTAGCTTCGATAGATCGTTGATTTTGAATAAAACCATGGCCAGATCCTCTTAAAAATATAAAATATTGCATCTCTATGTAATGACAGGGTACAGCTCAGCAATTTGTTTTATGTTTTCCTTTGACAGCAACCATAATTCCATGCATCCAAATTTGCTCAATTGTGAATTATGAGATAATAATATAATATCAGTAAATACTAATAAAGAACAATATTCTTGTGTCTACAATATACATGTAAAGGTAAAATGTAATTCCTGATCTTCTCTAACCCTAGCCTAAGAAATTAATATTCTACATCTGCCACAGGGGGTTAGTTCTTCAAGAATACTTAGGAAATTCAAAATGAAGATAAATATTTTGTTAGAATTAAAAAGCCAGTGGAGAGTTAGTTGATCATCTTTACATAATTAGATGGGTTTTTGAATTAAGTAGCAAGGCACACTGGAAATGAAGAAGAAACAAAGTAATGAGGAGAAGGAGGGTTGGAAAGAAGAGAAAAATCATAATTAGAGGATGGCATTGATAAAGCCATGTTACTAATGACATAACATTTAATGCTTTTATTTTGAGAAAACAGATGGCTTATAATCTAATATAAGACCAAGTTTATGTTCTGTGATTTAATTTTGAGGTTTTATCTTGCGTTTTTCTTCTTAGGGATACATCAAGACTGTAGATCAGA